TTTGGACCACATCGCTTTGACACTCCTGAGTGTTAACAGCGTCGTGCGCTTTTCAGGCTCCTTGTAACGGTACTTCTGGTATCTCCAAAGGACGTGGTTTGGCCGAAGTGCTGATGAGGAGGTCACCAAGCCGCAGGAGTTCAGTGACTGCTTGTTTTGGTGGCCAGACCCACTCAGAAGATTCGGGTGAGCTGTAAACAAATACAGAGCAGTGCCAGGGGCTGTGGGCACTGCTGCCTGCTAAGTGCGCTTGAGTGCAATGGAGCATCTTAAAAAAATAACTCTCAGTTTTGGGGGTAGTAAATGTCTCTGAGGATCCTTAGAAAAGTCACACGCTTGTAAGTGGTCAAGGAAATAGCTCTGTGTCATCTATTGAGTGCTTAAAAGCGGAGCCCGCACAGCAGGTCATTAATCTGAGGGAACAAATCGGTGCTAATTGAAGTCTGAGAGTCTTCACATTCTTCATCCTGAAAATATGTTTCTGAAATGAGAGCTCTCAGTATTTTCTTTGCAGTTACCTCCTGTTCCCTTTGCTGTACACATTGATGGGCTTCTAAGCACTGGCTAATAAGAACGTGTCTTTAGTTGAAGCTTTTTAAAACAAATAAAACAAACTGCTTTACCTATCCCACCTTTCTTGGCTTCACCGGGACATGACAGTTTGGGGTTTAGCTGCCCTTCTCTATCTGTAAGTAACGTTGTTCAGGCTTGCATCAATCTTGTTTTTAATTAGAATCCTCTTTGAAATGGAAAATATTAAAGCGGATCTATAGCTAGACTGGGCAATGCAGAGCCAGAGGGTTTTCAGATACTGCCTTTAAAAAAAAAAAAGAAAGAAAGAAAAAAAGCCATTTCTAATCCTTAAAATATTTGCCTTGCTTTATTTTCATATCTTGAAGACAAACAGGTGCTGTGTGCCCTTTATGATTCTCAAATACACAATCTCCAAGCCAGCAATCTCTAAAGCCTTCCCTTGTTTGTACAATTAGGGTGGGATTTTCAGAATCACTCACTGTTGGTCTGTCTCTGCTCTCATTGAAGTCAAGCTGCCATTGACTTCAGTGAGAACAGTGTTAGATCAGCACATGAGAGCTTTTGAAAATCCTCCCCTTGGCTTTTTTTAGTCACATCTGTGTACAATTGAATAAAAAGACCTTTGTAATATACTTTAATTATTCTTTGTTGTTTTCATATAAAAGTGATTGAAAGGAAACGAGAAGAAAACCTATAATAATCATCTCGACTTTGATCTTATTTACCATAAATTATATGTTATGTTTTTCTTCTCCTTTTATGTAATTATATATTGCTTTATCACAATGTAAGATAAATCACTGAAAACATGAGGAGTAGAAATAATTAGGTAATACGGAGGGGAGGAGCACTCACAAAGGAAGGAACTCGACTCTTCGTGGTCTGATGGGTTTCCAGTGTTGCTCACAGCAACATTCCTTTGAGCGCATGGGAAAATCGGGATACTTTACATGAAAGGCTGGTGCTAAAACCTGATGAATTTGGAGGCTGCATGGCCAGCTGTGAGGAATGGCTCTCTGGATGTCACCTTCCCAGGACACCTCAGGTTGTTTTCCAGGTATCCGGACTCCACTCTGCCTCTGTGGTCTCCACCTGGTTTTGGTCCACCGGCTCCTCCCCGGTTCATGCACCTTTTTGGTTTCCAACGTGTTTCAGAGGTGTTTCTGGTTAACTGCTTGCTGTTTGGCAATCACAAAGGAAAATCGGAGAACCCCAGAAGCATCTAATTCAACGTGGCCAACATTTGCAAGACTTGCTCAGTTTCACCCCTGGCTGTAGACTTTCAGGCAAGTGCTCAAATGGGGAGTCCAGTTGTACTGATCGTTATTTGCATTGTGTTAAAAATGTTTGCTTGGGTCTGCAGCAAGAGATTTATCTGAGGAGGGGCTTTGACCACCACTCTCACCCATCCCCATAGCTCATCTCCGCCTCCCCAGCGCTGTGCAAAACGTGGAGTATTTTGGAGACCAGCAGCACTTCAGTGCAGGAGGAGGTGCCTGCTCTTTGGCAACAGCCTCATCGTCTTATTTGCTCGTTAGGGACATCGATTCACCTGAATTGCTCTTCAGAGGGTCTTTGGAGAGAAATACACACATCCAGAGGGAAATTCTGCTGCCAAAGAGCACGTGGAAGCCAGCTGAGATGCAGGGGTGGTTTTGCAATGGGAAGATCTTGAATTAAATTGTCTTTTAATAGCAGGGTTCCGCTCCGTCTTTAGACTGATGGGATTATCGGTTCTGCTGTAAATATGTGTTCAGCATTAGAGTAAAATGTTATGTCAATACGTGGAAGAGACACCGCTGTTTCCACCATGTGTCACAGATTAGAGCTGGCCCTGGACGAGGGCCAGGCTGGTGCTTGATAGGCTCTAAATCCGAAGCGGTATATGAGAGATGTCTACTAGCCTAAGTGTGGGTGATCCGTTTGATAAACTATATGACATATTGTTCCTCTTAATGCACTCTATTTATGTTTTTGTGTGAACAGGAGTAGCGGTATTGACCTGTCATAATTCAGTAGTTAAGGTCTCTCCCGCAGGAAGGGCTGTGGAAGGCAAAGACACTGCATGCTCAGGGTTTTCCATCTGCTCTGCTGGCTCAATTAACTGCAACTCGTCAGGTCGCTGTCTTTGAAAACTTAATAAATGGTGTCAGTGTTTAATGGGTGGTACGGAAAGAGCAAGAGGGCTTCCTGTAAAGGCACGGGATGCCCCTCACTCTGTATCAGCTTAGTCCTCGGGATGCCAGCGTAGCGTGATGCCATCTGCATCTTGCAAGGTGATGCTTTGGGAATGTTGGCTTGGTCCAGATAAAATCATTAATCTGTATGTCCCCAGGAAGTCTGAATGATTAGATGCCCTCTGCACTCACTGCTGTTTCCAGGAGGTAGCTTGAAGAAATTAAACGTTCTTTAATGTTTCACTTAAAAACAAAGTGGAAACCAATATGAAGAAGCTGAAGAAAAAAAACCCAACATGAGTGTAAACAGCTATAAGCAGTAATGTGACAGCTAATCTAAGAATTGTTAGATGTTTAAGATATAATTACTGTATATTAACTAAATGAGAACTACACAAAGAGTCTGATGAGCCTGCCAGAGAAATAAACCACAAAGTACTAGCTGGCCTGATTTATTTTTTTCCATCATCATGTTTTAAATGTTCCTGCATACTGATCAAAATTTAGGTTAGAGTCTTGAAAGCCATTGCCAAGTTTTGTCACTCAGGGATTTTTAGATGCTGTAGATTTAACCCTCTGCCTGTCCTTTTGATGGCGAGCTTCCCAAATACCCTGGGCAGATAATATTCTGCCTTGTCCAGCTGAACCGATGCAGTCAGACTTCCTGAGGAAAAAGCCTCTTGAGTGCTTCTAAAATATTTATTTATTCAGGATTCATCTTACTCAATTGACTGTTTGCTAAAGCAGGCTGTGCTGCGCTGGCGTGTCATGAGATAATATGTTTGACTTCGCTCTTTCGTTGCTATGGAATGACATTTGAGATGCACATTTTTTTCATTTTTTCTAGAATATCAGGGGAAAATAATTTCAAGTGGAAAGAGAATTTTGCTGAACATCTGGGAGCAAAATGGGAAAACTCTGATAAATGGCATCTTTCTGACATGTAGTAGCACCTAGCTCAGTGCAAGAATCTGGGGCATTGCAAATAAAAGGATTTTTCTTAGCTGTGGTTCGCTTGGATATGTGGTTTCATGCGTAAGGTTGACAGTAACAGGTTATTTGGATTGTCAGATTTTAAAAAGTGAAAAAATTCAGGCTTAGGCGGTAATCCTCATTTTGGGAGCAGCCCTATCTATGACAAAGACAGGCATTTTCTGACGACTTAGAGGAGTTTCTTGTTCACAATTTATATTCTATTCAGGGGTTAACTACTGTATTAAATATGTAGAAATATTTCATACACTGATTATGGTATTGTCAGGCTATACTGAGAACTCAACTACATAAGTTTAAATTCTTTCAAGTGCTGAGTGTCCAACTGTTCTTCATTTCATTCATTTTATGCTTGAGACGCACTGAGTTTAGACGTGCATGTTATTCTGATCTTATCCATCGCACAAGGAGTACTTTTATCTTAAGTTTAAATACTCTCAGATGAGCCAGAATCACCTCACATACACAAGGTTAAACTGGAAGTGAGCCCACGGCGGTCAGACTCTGCAAATAGAAATAAGGGGAAAACTGTGTCTTTAACAACAGAGCAGAGCTGAGCATAACTCTAAATATTTTCAGGAGAAAATACTTTAGCTGCATAGATTTCTCCCTTGTATTGCTCTACCAGTCTGATGTCAAATGACATTTTTTCTTCATTTAACATAATTGTCCCTGAAATGTAACAGCGAAACAAACCATTAGCAAAATGCTGAGCTGTCAGAAGCAATCACTGGGTTTGGATCCATACAGGGAGCTTTCCCTTCTCTGAAGGTCCTCGTTGCTGTTTCCTGTGGAGGCAATTTGGGAAGCATCCGATGTTTCGGGGACAGCATTGCAGCCGTGCGGATCCGACCTGGCCCTTGGAAGCGAGCGGCCGGGGCTCCGTGCCCGGGGCTTGTTCTTGTCGCTGCCCTGCAGCCCTCCTCTCAGCTTTTCTTCTAAACCAGGCTCTGCTCCGGCTTCGGTTGTAGCTGGGAGTGATCATTGCCGCTGCAGATCATAATCTATTGGCTGCCTATCTAAAAATAAATAAACGAGTTGGCCAGGACTCTACAAAGGCAAAGGGAAGGAAGTATAAACTAACCCTTTTTCTTCCTGAAGTCCCCTCCTCTTTTGTGTGAGTAACTCTTGGCTGAGCAGCCTGAGTTTGCTTCATTAATGTCGGTAATAAAATTGACAGGCTTTGAGAGTCGGCAGGAGTCAGGAGTGGGTCGGGTGCTCCAGCCTATTGACCTGGTTTAGCCTTACCCAGAGCAAACCAAAGGCTGCGGAGCTCCAGCCAGCTCCGCCACACAGATGGAGGTGAGAACTGTTAATGCCTTAGATGTGAACTAGTGCTGAAGAGCTGTGGAGATTATTTCAATTCCCATGCTTTTATATTTCTTAACTTTTGAGCATTTAATCTGCAACCTTTAACGCAAACTGACAGCTGCGGGGTTCCTCCCCTGCGGAACTGTGGTGGGCTCTGGCTCCATCAGGGACAAACTGAAGGCTTTAATACCCAGCACAGGCTTTGGCCAAGCAGTAATTATCCATTATAATAACAACAGCAGTAATTATCCATTAATTTCTGCTGGCCAGCCACTGGAGGGGGACGAGGCAGCCGCTTTTCCAGGGGATTTCACAGCTGCTGGCTGGTAAGAGGGGGTGCAAGTTTGGGGTCCCCCAGGCCGTGCCCCTCTTGCTGGTGCTGCTGCTCCTTCAACTTTCTCCCCTCCCTTCCCACCTCAGTCTCCTCCTTTCCCAGGTTGGGGCAATTTAACAAGCACAACAAAACGTGAAGATGACGCCCGCTGACAAATTTCTTAGTTTTAGAGCGTCCTTCCCCTGATGTGCACCTGCAGGGCTCTGGTGGGGTCCCTGCCACCCCCTGTGTCCCTGACCCCTGGCATTCCCTGGGAACGCAGCAAGGCCAGTGATGTGGCTCTGTCAGAATGAAGATGTTTGTTAATTGTGTCTGCTGCTGTGTAAAAGGTTACATCACCGTGCTGGAATAGCAGATTTTATCATATAGTGATTTATCATATAGTCACCTTAAATCTGTCTGCAGTTTGGCTGTACTGAGCTCACTGTCAGTCTGATTGTTTGAAATTATGGTCTGTTACGATACTTTTCCTACATATTCACCTTAATTGGGATCCTACCCCAAAACCTCAGACATAACGTCAGCAGAAAATATTATTTCTGTAAATACATACTATTTTTATAAATAGATATATGCTTATTATTTTTATTATTATTTTGCACACGTAAAACTAATTGGCTTTACATTATGTTGTATGGAAAAGTGCGTTCAGCTTTTCCAGTAACAGTCTTTATAGAATGGCTCACACGAAAGCCTGCAGGCGTTCCTAGCGTGAAGATAGCGCCGCCTAAATTTTCCCATAGGCGGTGTTTAAAGTCAAGTTGGGTTGTGACATTAAATAACACCATATGGTGTGTTCGTTCCCTGCTGCTCGCACTGGATGCTCAGTGCAGTTTCAGTAGCATTTTACAAGAGTTGATTGATTTTGGGGCGGGTTATAGGTTCTCAGAAGATCTTGGGGAAAAAAAAGTTAGTGTTTGTCTTTAAAACACCAGAAACACAACATTTGCGAGGGCTGTTTCTGTTCATGTAAGGCTGGGACAGGGCTGTATGTGCGTGTCTGTATAATCGTGTATGTATACGGGAATAAAACTCTACTGCAAAGGATTAACTTTTGGGGACTTGCATAAACTGTTTTTGTCCTCCAGGTGATTTTCTTTCTAAGGAGATGCCAAAAGCATTAACGCAGACTATCAAAGCTCGGTAAAAGGAGTTTGCCATTTTAGTTGTATTTCTGAACCTTCAGAAATAGAGATGAAAGCACCTGCAGATGCAGACAGCACATTGCATGCATGGCATGCTTTCCGGCATCCTTTCATTTTGGCTTTTCCTTTCTTTTGTTACAGTTCTTTGAGGTTCCATTTGACTCAAACATGAACAGGACAAAAAATAGACCCCTGGTGCGAGGACAGATCAGGTAAGGCTGTGCACACCTGCTCTGGCTAATAAGTCTGCTCGTTGCTTTTATCTGTCTCCAAGCTTCTCTCTCTCGTCAGATGACGAAAAATAGCAATTTCAGTCAGAGGACTTAAGAAAGAAAGGCACCTCTCTGTTCTTTGATATTTCTCCATGTTTATAACTTCTGTGTGAGGTGTTTGGGTAATCGGCTGTCCTCTAAAATACTGAATTTCTCGACAGAGCAGAATTGCCAATACTCGTGTCGTGTATTTCTGCACGTGTGACAAGACTACAGAGGCCGTGTGGTAGCACACGGTTACGTTCCACTGAACTTTTGCATTCGTTTGTAACATCAAATCTTTAACATGTCACATCTAAGGACAAACACAAGAGTGCGTGTTACTTTTGATAGTCACATCTATCCGTTAGATCTCGAGCATTCATTTAAATCTCCTAGCAGACGTATGTGCCACTCATTTTTATTTTATGTAGTGGTTTTGTAAGTGGTTTTGTCTTTGCCCTTTCTACATGTTTAGCATAAAGCTGGAAAACTCAGAATGGTGACATCTTAAGAAAAGCCTCATGTAAATCCCCCACCAACACCAGAAAAGGTGCCCTGTATTAGCATAGTGATTCCCTTAAAAAAAAATCCTTCATTTACTTTGTTTGCTGGATTATGTGTCAGTTTGGTTTCTCAAAGGCTGTTTTCCAGCTAAAAAAGCAAAGTGAAAAAGAACATCAACAAAAAACTCTTAACTTATTTGCAAACTAAAACTGAAGGCCCAATTCATAAATGATTCAACAAACAATTTTAGTATTGCATTTCCATGATTTGTGCCAAGGATTATTTATAACAAAATTATGTTTTCCCTTAGGCTTCTGTGAACAGTTGGTCCTATTTATTTCTGTGTTTTATCCATCACCTTTGGAGGATTGAAAAAAATGTGATGGATGAAATTACAAGAAAATTGAGACAAAATACTGAAGTGAACCTTGGGGGTAAACGCGCTCTCATTGTAGGCAGTTAGAGCACTTCAATAAACTTGTTCTGATTTGTTCTTGAAGATGGTGCTAATTACACATTCCAGAGTGGAGTTAATTTTATTTAAAAACATACTTTAGGGACGACTGCCGTGAGGGCATCTGTTGTACAGGGAGCAAGGCAGCCTTAATTGTGCAGTTCAGGGGAGCCGCGCTTCTGCTCCGCTTGCATGCAGTCCTTTAGCCCTGGAAGCAGGCACGCTTGTTAGGAAGAAAGATGACGGGGGTTTTTATTCTTTATTACTTTTATTATCATAGCCTACTAGCGTGGCTTGCAGTGTTTCTGGAGTCAGAAATACAACTGGGAAACTTTCTGTCAACTTTTGATTTAGAGAACGGAATTTGCTTTATAAGTTTCCAGTGTCCTCAAGCGAACTTCACTGTCTTCTGAATGCACCACAGACTGGCAAAACCATATTTAACGGATTTGCTTACTTCCCTCCTTTCATATTTGCTTTCACCACAGAATGGTAATGTTGGGGACTTCGTGTAATCACTCATCAATCTATCTACCTGACTGTCAACAGCTAATTTAAAGTTCTTTAAAGTGTCACTTACCTTGAATAATGCCGTCTCGCTCCCTGCAGACCGTCGAATGCGCAGACCTTGACTGGGTTATTTCTTCTGCTGTGTGCCAGAGGAGAATAATCCCGTGCAAGTGATCTAACCTTGTCATGTTTTGCCACATATTCCCTAGTGTTCCTTGAACTCTTTCCTTCCTGGCTGTATGAATAAAACCCTTAAATGGTTGTGCTAAAACTAGTCAAAAAAACAGAGGAGACAAAGATGGATAAATTGAATGTTAAGAGACTGGTGTCTTGGCTCTGGGCAGGAATCCAGAGAGCTTGGGGTATGTACGGAGTTCTTGCCCAAAATCTCTTTGACATTTGAGCTTTGGTATTTTCTTCTTTTAGCTGCTTCATGTCATGAGATGTTTGGTGCTTTGTTAATTCTGCTGTGCTACAAACATCTGTGATATGTGGTGCAAACAAGGCATCATTTTGCAACCTGTCTTTATTTGTATTGTTTGTAAATATTTTGTGATTTCCCTTCTTTTAAAATTTAAGTATTTATTTCCTTTTTATTTATTTTGCACAGTTCTTGCTACAGAGCTGCTTGGTATGCGTTACAGAGTCATAGCAGTTTTTGCATGGTCCAGTTCTGATCCTATTTGAAGAGCAAGAAATTCGTTAACTCTCCATCGTGCTGGCTCACAGCACCTCCTTGGAAAGGCTTTTGATGGTGACTTTGATGTCAGCTTCTGCCCACTGAGATGCTGCACAGAGACCAGTGACATTTCTGTAGAGGCTGTGGCATCATGAAGACAATTGGAATATTGTGTCCAGTTCTGGGCCCCTCAGTTCAAGAAGGACAGGAACTGCTGGAGAGAGTCCAGCGTAGGGCTACAAAGATGATCAAGGGAGTGGAGCATCTCCCTTATGAGGAGCGGCTGAGGGAGCTGGGTCTCTTTAGTTTGCAGAAGAGGAGACTGAGGGGAGACCTCATTCATGTTTATAAATATTTAAAGGGTGAGTGTCACGAGGATGGAGCCAGGCTCTTCTCGGTGACAAACAATGATAGGACAAGAGGTAACGGACACAAGCTGGAACACAGGAGGTTCCACTTAAATTTGAGAAGAAACTTCTTCTCAGTGAGGGTGACAGAGCCCTGGCCCAGGCTGCCCAGAGAGGTTGTGGAGGTCTCCTTCTCTGCAGACATTCAAAACCCGCCTGGACGCCTTCCTGTGTAACCTCATCTGGGTGTTCCTGCTCCGGCAGGGGGACTGGACTGGAGGAGCTTTTGAGGTCCCTTCCAATCCCTAACGTTCTGTGATTCTGTGATTCTGTGATTCTTAGATGCTTTGAGCTTGGGCCAGCATCAGACTGGTAACCCGCAGTGAGAGGTTCTTGGTGTTACTGAGTCATCCAGTCCCTGGATGAGCCAGCATCTCTATTTTAGATAAGCAAATTCATGGAGCTGGCTCATTAGGAAATTTTACGCTGTTGTAGAGAAATTCTGGTGCCTGTTTCACTTTGTGGCCTCCATTTGCTGCTCCAGCCCCAAGTTTCCCTAGATTTAAGATCAGCTGTCGGTTCTAACTGACCTCCCTTCCAATTTCTCCCCTTCCTTTCTGCCTGAAGCCTTTGCTTTGAAAAACCAACGCTTGTGTGTTCATTTCCCTGCATACACATTCATGTGGTTCCTGTGTCCCCATGTCTGAGTCTTTTCTACAAGTTGCTGGGGACCTGCAGTTTCTTTTGACATCAGTGAGGAACCTCAGGAGCTTTCAAAGAAAGCGTCACCTTCTGTGAAGTCCTTTCCATATTACATCAGTTTTATGGCTGAAATAGTTACCTAGAGGCTCAGTGTTACAAAATCCTTTGGCCTTGACAGGAGACAGACTGTACAGGCAATGACACAGAAGGACTCTGCAGAGCTGTGGTCTGCCGTACGTAAGACAAGAACACATCTACCTCATTGCCAGCCCCAAGCCCACTGCTGATGCCCCCAGGGAATCTCCTGACGCTGTCGCTGGATTTGTGACAAACAGCACCTGATAGTTCATTGACTGCTTGCTTTACAATGTGCTATTTAATCTGTAAGGCTTGGAAAAAAAAAATGTTCCCTTTGAGCAATGAGACGTAACCATCCTTATTCGCTCTTCAGAGAGTAATCAGAGACATCCTGTTGCAAAAATAACAAGAGCAGACCCAAACACAGCATGCCACTAAACGCCATCCATCATCCCAGCCTGCCCACATGTCCTCCTCCCTCCTCTGACCCTCGAGTCTTGTTTGGAAATGCAAACAGCTTGAGATGTTCTTCATACTTTGGCTGCAGTGGTAAACTCGTTGAGCGTATTTGCATTTTGCAGTCGAACAACAGCTGATATTATTTTTCCTGGTATGCGTTGTTTTTATGTCATTGACAAGAAAAAATTTCATGTGCTTGCACAACCTTAGATTTGACTGAAATAGAAGCAGCTTTTGCTGGTTTCCTGTTGGGTATAATTTATTCTCTTGCTTTCTAAGGTAATGGATTTAATTTTCCTGCAGATTAATTTAAATAAATCTCTAGTATTAGCTGCAGTAGCTGAGTGAGCTTCGCCTGGAGGATGACAAGTGTCCTGCTCCATTATATTGTACAAAGTGACAGGTTTGATTGCCCTTCTACACAAAACTGCACGCTCTCTTGTTAAAAAGCAGCTGTTTTTATGAACTTACAGTGCTGCTGGATCTGCTGTGCTAAGCACTCATAAAAAACTTAATAGTTGTACAGGAATAGTCTTCCATCTTAAAAAGAAAAAAAAGTAATCAAACAGCATGTTCTAGATAACTAATTCACGACTGTGTAGACACCTTTCAGTTCTGCTTCCGCTGTATTTTGCAACTTGCAACCGTTTTCTGTACCAGGTCTTGGCAGCGGCTGCCTGGGCACGGGGCTGGGATTGCTCCCTCGCTTCACCTCCAGGTTTCGTGTCACCCGGCTGTGAAGCGTGGTCCAGGCTGGAAGGACCTTCAGCAGAGCTGCAGACCCATCTCTTGTCCCAGCAAGGTCAGCCCTGAGGGCAGACTGGGTTGCTCCAGGCTTTATCCAGTCTTGTCTCAAAACCTTTCAATAAAGCAATAGCATGCTACAGGATTTAATTATATTCTTAAGCAGAGTATTCACACTCTCAAACTTGCTTTTCCTTGTGCGTTTAAGAGGTTTATGTGTATTAACTTGGCAGCAGAAGGCACAACACGGATAATGCCTTGGATGCTTCAAAAGGAATAAATCTTTTTGTTGTTTGGTAAATATTTTTTCCTGGAATCGCATTAACTTCCTCACTTAGCAATGCACAGGGAGCTGTGTTCTGTGTGTGAGCTCCCCACTTTTTATGGCTATGGTTGGGGATTATTGCAATTAATCGAGACACTAATGCTTTTCCTACTTGTTGACATTTCTGAGTGGAGTGTTGGCTTTGGTCAGTTTAAA